GGGAAATGAAGGCAGGAGGGATTTGTCCGAGTCCTTTTGCCGAGGCGGGGGGGGGGAAGCTGCAAACAGAAGACAGATCCCGTTATTCTCCGTCCAGTGCGTGGCCAAGTGAATCCCCCTGGCAGGCAGAGCTGTCCGTACGGGCGTGCACCGAGCCGCTTGACCGCGGCGAGCGGAGAGCCGAGCGGAGTGGGAGCAGGGCACGGCGCTGCTCCAGGCTTCCTTCTCGCGGCCGCAAGCAGCCAGAGTCGAGCAAACCCAGCGCTCCCCTCCCCATCTCTTCATGCAGGGATGATGGCCTTAAAGTTCTTCTCGGTGTGTTTACTTTACATGATATGGTGCAACTGTCAGGGTACACAGGCGATAGGGAATCTGCGCGCTGAAACCAAAGGGGACCGTATGTAGCGTGATTCGGAAGGAAAGTGAGGTACGTGCGTAGAAACATGGAACCCAAATGCTTTTAGAATCGCGGGGTAAGTTTGGGAAGGAAGACTGAATCTCGATGTCCGTTTTTAATTAAAGACACCCACCTTGGGAATCAAACTTACATTTTCACTCTCTTACTCCCACATTTACCTGTCTACAAGCTGGTGAGTCATCCCCAGAATAAAGGACATTAATTTAAAACAAAACATATAATTAAAGGAAGTAGGAGTGTCCTTCACCTCAGTAAAGAAGACCTAGCACTGCAGGGAAAATGACACTGCCTCTTAGAATAATGTGAAGCAATCCTGCGGTGTGGGAAATATTGTAACGTTAAGCCAGAGGAACAGGTATTGCATTATACGATTCAGTCAACTGTTCATAATGTTCAAACCTCAGAACTTCGAAAAGAGGAAGAATTCAAGAATCAGTCAGTGGATCATCGGACTTTTTCTTTCTTTTATTTTTTTCGTTTGCTTTTTCTTTTAACATTTTAAAAGGGTTTTTTCTTTCCATAACAAAAGTACCCTAACAGGTTTTCAGGCTTCAAATATTTCTAGTTCCATCTTTATCTACCAAGTTAATCTTTGGTGAATGCACCAGAGATTAAATTGGAGCTGGGCCTGGCCAGAGAGCTGGGTCTGGACGTTGTAGTTGGAGCCCATACCTTCATAAATACTAACATCTGTATTGGGTGCAAATACTGGCAAGTTGCAGTGAGCCAGGGCTTGTTCTTCTGGCTGTTTACTCCCTCATTCTGCATCTTTATCCTGCATTCTGATCTGGCAGTTACATCCAGTGGCTGCCCTAACTGGCCCTTGCAACTGAACTCTTGAAAATCGGTCTCATGTGCTTCCTACCTCCAAAACACCTCAGGGACTCACAAGCAGAAGGTCTCCTGCCATGGTGGCCTGCTGAAATGCATGGTTGGTCTTTCTTGGCATTAGCCCGACAGGTCTCCAGCTTGCCACAGCCGTTGGCTACAATCGAACGTTAAAAGTGGTTGGTAAATTTCCTGGGCAATTTTAAAAGATATTTTCGGAGATCTAAATTTGCCCTCTTCAAATTTCTCCTCTGCAGCAGAAAGTTGTACTCTGCCCGGGCTGATCTTCCCTAACAAAATAGAACGTCTGTGCAACTGTCATGTGAAACAGATTATATCAGGGATGGTGTGGCCCATACCTCCTTTCCAGGCCAGTGCTGAGTAATCCCGTAGTCACCGGGATCACGCGTCAGTCGGGGTGGTAATTGAGGTTGGATGCCCAGCTTGTCCCCTCCTCCCCTTCTCCCCCCTCACCTCCCTGCTGTACCTGGATCTCTTTAAACTTCCTCCAGCTCACCTCAAATCCCAACATCCACTCTCATGGAGCCGACGTCCATTCTCAGCTTCTCATGGGAACCTTGTTGGCGGGACTAACCACTTATCCAAAACCCTAGCATTCGGCAAGCAGGTTTTGAGCTAAGTCTGGTCTCTTTTAAATTGTTTCTGCACTTGTTGTAACAAATGCATGGCCAGAAATGGGGTATTTGAAATAGGAACAGGTGCAGAGCGAGGCTCGCACCACCGAGGATTGGGTGGGGGTCTGGGCACACCGAGCTCTGTCCCTGTAAGTGCCATGGCTTGGCCTGGCCAGATGTGCAGAGGCTGCTAATAATCGTCCTGGAAAACCTCCTCAGAGAGATGCTTTAGATAGGAAAAGAGATCTGCTGAAGGGATCTGGGCACTGGTCTCACGCTGTGAAAAACCCGAGGGCAGCAGCCCTTCTGCAGCATGTCTCCCAACAGAGCAATTTTCAGCAGAAAGGCAGCACTTCTGTGAAAAGCACCTTCTTTCTCGTGATTTCATGATTTCTTTTTTTTGAAACTAGTCAGCTGAGGAAGGAGACAGCATAACTCACAAATTACTTAGTAAGAACATCAACATTTCTGAGCAGAAAAAAAAAAAATTCTGATGCAATAGAATCCAGATTCCTCTACATTCATGTGTGAAACAATATAGATACTGGGAGGGTAACAGAAGGATACCAGAACAGTGAAAAGGTGGAGGGAAGAATCTCATCCTCACTGCTGCTTTCTGTCATGAATTAAATCCTGCTCTCCAGTTTCCCTTTTGTACTGTAGAAGCCACAACTTCCCAGCTCCAGGCTCAGACCTACAATAAAGCATTGCAGAGGCATTGTCTTCCTGGAAATTGTCTTCTTTTCCAGGATTTCTTGCAAGCTCTCCAGTTCATGCGCTCCAGGTCTACAGCAGCTGTCCCTGGAAGGACACCAGCTTTGGGGAGATGCTATTAGTTTAATGGTGACAGCTCAAACACTGAAGTGTTTATAAGGAGGTCTGTGGACAGAGGATCATACTCTAGAAAAAGGCTGGCTGTAATTTCTCATGCTTCTTGCTGCAGACTTGTCTCGTGTTACTTGCCTTGCAGTAGCTCTTAGCAGATCAGTAAGATCAGAGCTGCATTATGGTACACCCTGTGTGAACACAGCTGCTCACCCATAGGCCTGCGGTCTAAAGCAACGCAGAAGGGCAGAAGAGGGGCAAAGAGGAAAGAAGTTAATGTCAGAAGTTGACAGCTGCATCAGCGAACAAGACGCTGTAGGTAGTATGTTGGAGGTGAGCTGAAGAGGAGAATGCGAGGGGTTCCAGAGCAGTATCCGCATGCACGCGGGCAGGCTGGGAGAGAGCACAGAGGTGGTGTGGGAAAGTCTCTGGGGGGTAGGAGGGGACCTTGCCTGAAAGACTGACTTAAGTGGAGCAATGTTGCAATAAAGGCTGCAAAATAGAGAAGTAAAATTGAAATTTACTTCTGTGCATGTTGTGCGCTCTGTTTTTTCTTCTTCCTAGCCCCAGGTCCTTCTTTATACAGCCGCACATCTCACGCCAACAACAGCTCATAAGTTGTACCTGGCAGAGGCCAGATTTCAATCTACTGCTTTCCACTTGCCCTTCTCCACTGTGAAAAACAGCACTTATGAAATGTCAGACAGAGACAATGTCTCAACTCGGAGAGAGGTTGGCTTTCCTTCCGTCTCCCCCCACCTCTTAGACCAGGCTCGAGACTTTGCCTCATTTTAACATAAAACCCGATTGCCACATGCTTTCCTCTCTTCTGAAATCGCAGCTGCGATACTCTGCCTTGCAGTCCCCAGTGGCAGGGAGCTCCCCGGGCGGTTGCAGGCCATGTCTCCTGGCCTCCTTCGGTTCTTTTGTTACAGACCAGAGTCTTCCCCCTCCCTAAGTGCTCCCTCACCCCTTGTTCCCATGTGACATGGTGATGCTCGGGTATTTGTTGGTCTTCTGCTGATTTTTCTGCTCACCTCTGACCTAGCATGCTTGGCCTTTGCCGTGCTGGGTTGCTCAATCCCCGCTTTATCTACATGTTGCTCTTTGCCCTACCGAGTGCTGCAGAGACGACACCTGGAGATTGGCACCACTGCCTCCAGCCGGTGGGACAACATGAGCGAAATACCTTCCCCTACCAGACTGAAAATTTTCCAGAGCAAATTGGAGGTCAGAGCACCCACTCTGTGGCTCAGCGAAAGAAAGAAAAGGGGGGAGAGCCAGAGCGCACACAAACACCCGTGGAAGGGAACGGTGACAAAGCAGAAGCTACAGTCTCCAGTCCTGCGTTGCAGAGAAAGTCCATGTTGAAGCCGTTTGGCTGACAAGACGTGGGCTTTCTTTCTGGGCAGGGACTGTAAGAAAGAAGTGACTTTGTATTTTATGAGTAGCCTGTTTCCTTGTATTCAAAACAAAATGGCAGAGAAGCTGCTGTCCACTAATTTTCCAGAAGTTCTCCATAGTTGTCTGACATTTCCTAGGTAATCGGAGCCTCCTGCTTTGATGAATTTGTTACAGATCACAGGTTAATGCTTTTTTTCCAGGGTATCCAAGCTTTCAAAAGATCCATCAAGGGAATAGGAACCCTATCCTTCTAGGGTACCCTGCCAAGTGTCGAAAGATCCCAGTAAAAGCAGTTGGCAATTCATTTAGGAAATTTCTAAAGGAGGAGAACTATTCAGAGGTCCTCAGGCTGCAGGCCAGGTAGCTGGAACTCCACGGTTTGTATTGCCAGGGGCAGCAAAAACCAAGGGAAGCCTTAGTGTGACAGGAGAGTGGGCTTCTGTGAAGAATTAAAAGATTTTTTTCTTTATTAAAAGCATTAAAGGTCTGTGCCCTAGACTGTACAATGACTTATTTTTCATCTGCTCTCCTCTTGTGTCGAGCACCACAGGGAAAGTGGGGCTGACGGGGAATCAGTTAGGACTTGTTGGCTGTGAGTACTGGCATCTACAACAGCCCCTGGGCTGGTGTGTGTCATCTGGCAGCCGGCCTTGGTGGACGGGGTACCAGGTGGGGATAGCCACAGCGTACCGTCCTCCGCACACCTCGCTTCTTGGTCCCTGTCATCTCCCTATCTTTGCATTTATGGCTTTGGACAGGAGTCGCAGGAGAGGCTATTCCAGCTCTCTCACCCACTGACACTTTCCCATGCCAGAGAGAGTCCAGCAAGGGAGCTGCAGCCAGTTTCTGCTCCCTTCCTGCCCTGTGGCTCAGGAAGAGGCCAGAATTGCGCATGTGAGGGTAACAGGCGGGAGGAATGAGTCTGAAAGCTGCTCTGCACCGACGAGCCAGCCCTGATGGGCAGCTCTCAGGTACAGAGGTGTAAGGGGGAAGTGTGCAGAAAACTAGAGGTGATCTGACTGGTGTGAACAGGGTGAAACAGTAGCCAGGGCTGTGCCAACTGAAATCGCTGCCGTCGTTTCACCTGAGGGCCGGCCTCCCTCCCGGCCCCGCTGCTCTCACCCACACCGCTGGGGCTGCAGCCGCCGATGGCGGGAGGCCGGTAACGGATCAGGTGATGAGTTTAATGAGGAATGCACGAAACCGCGTTGTTTGCCTGATGTCTCTAATAACTCATTAGCAAACGGGCTCTGCACCTGGAAGCGTGGAAGATTTTCCCGTGAGTGCCTCTGCCCCGTCCCCCGTCCCCGGGGCGGCTCCGGCGGGGGCCGCTCGCCGGGGCGGGGCTGACGCGAAGCTCGGCAGTGTCGGGAGGGCACAGGGTTTTACTCGCGGCGTGCTCGTCGGGGTCTCGGAGACCCCCGCGGCTCG